TTTAAAGACTTTAAGATGCAGAGAATCTTCCAGTAAGTGACCCATGCCCCACACTGCAGAGGAAGGCGAAAACCCCCCAGGGCCTCTGCCAATCTGCCCTGGAGGAAAATTCCTTCCCGACCCCAAATATGGCCATCAGCTAAACCCTGAGCATGTGGGCAAGACTCACCAGCCAGACACCCAGGAAAGAATTCTCTGTAGTAACTCAGATCCCACCCCATCTAACATGCTAACATTTTTAGGTGACAAATCTAAGGAACTGTCCCAGATTGAGGTGTCATTAGAGGAGGTTTTGGAACAAATTGATCAACTAAACAGTAATAAGTCATGAGGGCCAGATGGGATTCACTCGAGTTCTGAAGTAACTCAGATGTGAAATTGTAGAACTAACTGTAGTTGGTAACCTATCATTTAAATCAGCTTCTGTACCAAATGACTGAAGGATAGCTAATGTGATGCCAATTTTTTAAAAGGGCTGCCAGGGTCACTTCTGGAATTACAGCCGGTAACCCTGACTTCAGTACCAGGCAAACTGGTTGAAACTATAGTAAAGAACAAAATTACCAGACACATAGATGAACGTAATTTTTTGGAAGAGTCAACATGGCTTTTGTAAAGGGAAATCATGCCTCACCACTCTGCTAGAATTCTTTGAGGGGGTCAACAAGCATGTGGACCAGGGGGATCCAGTAGATATAGTGTATTTAGATTTTCAGAAAGCTTTCGACAAGGTCCCTCACCAAGTAAGCAAAGTAAGATGTAATGGGATAAGAGGGAAGGTCCTGGATTGGTAACTGGTTAAAAGATAGGAAACAAAGGGAAGGAATAAATTATCAGTTTTCAGAATGGAGAGAGGTAAATAGTAGTGTCCCCCAGGGGTCTGTACTGGGACCAGTCCTATTCAACATATTCATAAATGATCTGGAAAAAGGGGTAAACAGTGAAGTGGCAAAATTTGCAGATGTTACAAAGCTACTCAAGATAGTTAAGTCCCAGGTAGACTCCGAAGTGCTACAAAAGGATCTGTCAAAACTGGGTGACTGGGCAACAAAATGG